CCCCCCCCAAACCTTTCTTCCATTTTCTTAATTCAGAATTCAGTAGCTGGGAATAAAGTTTGAGAGGTTTTTGAACAACTCTTTCTTAACCTGTTCCCAGCCCAAACCCTTGGTTTTTGGTTCTGCGTAGTAGGTAATTTTTTCCACAAGGAACTGAACAGTTTCTTCTTGAACTTTACAAATTGCAAAGACTTTTTTCATTGCTAAAGTAAATCATCTGTATTGTAAGCTCTGAGGCAACCTCCTTAGATCTCAGTGATCCACACTAAGATGCCTTGTCCAGGCACTGCCTTAAAACTATTGAAGAAGGCTGGCTGCAGTGGCTCACATGTGGCACTCTGGCAGGCCAGAGCCGGTGGATTGCTGGAGCTCAGGAAGTGGAGATCAGCCTGAGCAAGAGGGAGACATCGGCTCTCCTAAAAATAGAAAAACTAGCTGGGCCATGGTGGAGGGTACCTGTTGTCCCAGCTACTTGGGAGGCTGAGGCAAGAGGATTGCTTGAGGTTGCTGTGAGCTATGGTCTTATAGGTCTCTACCCAGGGTGACAGAGTGAGATGCTGTCTCAAAAAAATAAAATAAAATAAAATAAAATAAAACTATTTAAGAAAATATTTTCTTGACAATTACTAACAACTGGCTGTCCATGTAAGGAAAAAACAGGTGCATGAATGCGCTAGAACTATGATTTCTGTTTCAGGAAGTGGCAGCACCGGGAGGTATTTATAGCCTGCTTGTTTTCTCTTTTCAGCCTCTCAAGTATTGATTGCGTCTAGGAATAAAGACACAGATGAGGTAGAGAACAGGAGGCTGTCATTTAAACTTAGGTTGCACTATTTAAGTGGCTACAGAAATAACTATTAATCTTTGGAAACAACATTACAGCACATTTTGATTCCTAAAAATGTTAATTTTGAAAATGCTCAGATGGTGATTTCTGTCTGCTTCATCCAATCTCTCTTGGGTTGGATCACGTTGCTGAAACAAGTATCCACATTCAGATGTTAATGGTGTGCTAAATCATTGCTAATACCTTGGAGAGGTAAATGTGATTTTCCTGACTTTCAGGGAGCCAGAGTTCAGAACACAGCAAAGAACCTGGGAGTCAGAGACCGAACCCCTCAGTCTGCCCCAAGGTAAGCATGTCCCCTGCTCTGCCTTCTCCCAAGGGACTCGCCAGCATTTCCAGGCAGTGTCCCTCACAGCAGATGCAGAATGTGCCAAGGTCCTACCGATTGTCATGGTGGAGATCGCCCTTGAAACCCCAAATGGCTAGGTGTGACTAGGCATAAATGTTCTCGGAAATCAAAGGGTATTATTCCGTCTTGCAAGTTCCATCACGAAT